TTTTTTTTTCTTTTTTCTCCCCATTGCCAACCCTGAGGCAACATGAACCGTGGAGGAAGGAGTAAACGAGGCAATTTGGTGGAGTCTCAAGGAGCAGCAGGCCCTGATGAGCCGACTGATTGCACTGAATCAGGGGCATCTGGCAGACATGTAGGCACTGAGGGTGAAGATGGGGAAGAACCAACTTATGGAGATCTTGTCAACATTCTTCGTTCCCACATTAGTCAGCAGGAGGCACAGAATAGAATAATGAGAGAGGAAACAGTTCGTCAAGATCAACGGTTTCGGACTCTCCAGGAACAATTCACTCTTTTGCAGTTAGAGGTGCAAGCTCATACTTCAACAACTGAACATGCTAAGCTGGAAGACTCCGACTTGGAGGAACCACAGGATAAAAATCTGCTGCCAGGAGACCGGAAAGACATCTCTACTTCAGGTCAGTTTCGTTCCTTCCTGGAGCCTAAACTTGGAAAGTTAACAGAAACTGATGATATTGAACATTTTTTAATGACTTTTGAGAGGATTGCAATTTCATGTAACTGGCCAGAGAATGACTGGGTCTTTCGTCTTGTTCCACTGCTCACTGGAAAAGCTAGAGGCGCTTATGTGCATATGGACATTGATGAAGTAAATGATTATATATCTGTCAAAGATGCAATTCTTAAGAAATATGACATTAACCCAGAAACCTATCGCCAGAGATTTCGTTCTACAGAAGTGGAGCCTGGTGAAACTCCCAAGGAGCTGTATGTAAGGTTAAAAGAGTTGTATGAAAAGTGGATCCAACCTAAAGGTAAAACAGTGAAAGACATTGGTGAAATAATTGTCTTGGAGCAATATCTCCGTATGCTGTCTCCGGAGCTTCAGGTTTGGGTCCGGGAACATGATCCTCCAACTGCTTCCAAAGCTGCTTCTCTGGCTGAGGTGTTTGTGGCTGCAAGACGGAGAGGACAACCATGGAGTTATTTTTCTTGGAAGGCATCTAAAGATACACGCAGAGCTGCACCTGTACACCACCAAAGGGGTATATCTGCTGTGGGTAAGGCCTCCCTAAGGGAAAACCAGTCAATAACCACAATACCCAAGCCATACAATAAAGTGCCCATTTGTTACTTGTGTGGTCAAGAAGGTCATACAAAACCCATGTGCCCAAAGAACCCTCCTAAACTCACTCAACTGTGAGTTGTCCCATTCAAAAGTGACAATTGCATCTGTGTTGGACAGCCTGTGAAACTGAGTGAAGTTAAAATCAATGGAAAAAGTGTAAAGGCCTTAATTGACACTGGCAGTGTTCAGACACTTGTGGACCGAAAGCTGGTTCCAGCCAATATAATCTGCACATCATACACCATCCCTATCCGCTGTGTGCATGGTGATGAAAGGTCATATCCCACGGCAGATGTGTATATTGAAGTTCAAGGTCAAGTATACCTGTTGAATGTCGGGATTGCAGAAAGTCTCCCTTTTCCAGTAGTATTGGGTAGTGACTTGCCTGTTTTGTTTGACTTGCTGCACAAACCGCAGAACTGTAATGTAGTAACTCGTTCTCAAGCAAAACAGCCAGAAGAATCTCCTCCAATTCTGAGTGTGTTGCCTTTTTATGATGCAGTCTTTGATGTGCAGCCTGGAAAATCTAGAAAATCATGTCGACAAAGGAGACGGGAGAAGTTTCTGCATACACCCATTACATCTACAGAAGGGGTTCAGGATCTGCCCCAGGTATTTAAGATTCCTTTGAATATGGCTCAACTCCAGCGGGATGACTCCAGTCTGGCTGCTCTTTTTCTGAAAGCGAAGGGACCCCAGAAAGGTAACCACAGAGGTCGTGCTGAAGAGTTTGTTCTACAGAAAAATATCCTTTATCGCCAACAGGGGGCAGTTAAGCAGCTGGTTGTCCCAAAGGATGCAAGAGAGATGGTGCTTATTTTGGGCCACTCAATTCCCTGGGCTGGCCACCTAGGGACACACAAGACCCTGGCTCGCATCAAGCGCCATTTTTTCTGGCCTGGATTACGGACTGATGTTGCCCAGTTTTGTAGGACTTGCCCTCAGTGCCAATTAACCTCCAATAAGTTTCCTTCAAGAGCACCACTGCAGCCTCTTCCCCTAATTGACACACCTTTTGAGCGCTTGGGTATGGACATTGTGGGTCCACTTGAAAGAAGCAAAGCTGGATACCGATACATGTTGGTTATCACAGATTATGCAACCAAGTACCCAGAAGTGTTCCCCTTAAAAACAATTAAAGCAAGAGCCGTGGCTTTTTCCTTGGTGCAACATTTTTCAAGAGTTGGAATTCCCTGTGAAATTGTGACCGATCAAGGCACTAACTTCATGTCTACTCTCCTAAAGCAGGTATATCAGCTGCTGGGGATTAAAGGTGTCCGAACTACGCCTTATCATCCACAGACGGATGGGCTCACAGAGAGGTTCAACCAAACACTGAAGCAAATGCTGCGTAAGTTTGTGGATGAAACTGGCTCTGATTGGGATCAATGGTTGCCTTATCTCCTCTTTGCCTACAGAGAAGTACCACAGGCTTCCACCGGGTTCTCTCCTTTTGAACTTTTATATGGTCATGAGGTGAGGGGACCTCTGGCGCTATTAAAGGAGACCTGGGCTGGAGAAGAGGAGGGGGAGGGGCCTGTTAATGTTATCTCCTATGTTATGCAGATGAGAGAGAGGCTCCAAAAGATGACAGCTCTGGCCCAGCAGCACATGGCAGAAGCTCAAAAATATCAGAAGGTTTGGTACGACAAGTCAGCCCGGCGGAGGACCTTTGTCCCAGGCCAGAAGGTTTTGGTTATGCTACCATCCAGTGAGAGCAAGCTTTTGGCCAAGTGGCAGGGGCCGTTTGAGGTTACAAAGCAGCTGGGACCTACCACCTACCAAGTTGTTAAAATGGGACAACCGCACTCCACCAAGGTGCTGCATGTGAACCTCCTTAAGGAGTGGACAGAGCAGCCTAAAAGTGGAGCAGAAGTTATGTTGATTAGAGCTGTGGAAGAGGAGGAAGCAGTTGATGATCAATACCTGCCCTCATCAACACCAATGGAGCTTGACTTGAAACACCTGTCAAGTGAACAACAACTTCAGGTTAGAGCAATATGTAATCCTCAGTTATTTAAAGAATATCCAGGTCGTACAGACATTTTGGAACATGAAATTGTGTTGAAAAGTGATGCTAAAGTCAAACGTCTGAGCTACAGAAT